ATAATATTTACACTGTACAATAAAAATATTTGTTGATCAAAAAACATAATACATATATTTTTTTCACTGAATCCAAATGTGCTCTAAAATTTCTCTAGCACCTCAATTCAATTCTTAAATCGCTTCTAAAATTGTAACAGAACAAAAGCTCTACCTACTTTTTATTGTGTTAACATTTTAAAAATATTATTAAAATCCTGTTTTGGCAAGAGATTGAATATTATTGACTAAATGTTTTTTGTGCTCTGCAAATTTATCCAATGTTTTTACTCGTATTTTATAATATTTCTACTTTTTTTCTTTTTTGTTGTTTGGGTTAATTAGGAGAGCTAAGGGAAAATTCGTTCTATACGCGTGTTGCTACAAAATAAACTCGTTTTAGAAATCCATATTAGGTACTACTGAATACTTATTGTCTCTGCTTGCCGCTATAATGACGTCAAATGGGTTCATTTAGAATATATTTTCGCGGTGGTTGCCGAGAGTGTTATTTTGGTTTTGGTCAACAAGGAGATGGAATAAAATAATACAAGTACAATTTGCAATCTGCAAGCGCCCGCGGTTCATGGGTTCCAATTTCATATAAATAAGCGATGAGAGATTAACAAGTGGAATCTGAGTGCGCTTTATTTGAACGGACCGTTTTAAAATTCACCATCGTCATCCGAGTGTTTCATTTTAAGTAATACAGTGTTAGATAAGAATAGTGTTTCTTCACGGGTCGAATGCGACCTCTGTATTTTGCGCCGGCCCACAGAAGACCTTTGGGACAAAGGTACATTAATACGTTTTTGTCCGGTCCGGGCAGAGGATAAATGATTTGTGAATAATTATTCGCCATGTTATAATTTCGGTAATCCGATTAGGTGCGCCGAACGACCGTGTACGAAGACCTTAACAATATAATACACCTACAGAAAAGCTGTTTTAATTTACAAACCAACCCCAATCGTATTGTGATGACACAAATAACTTAAAATGAGTCTGCACAGGTCGGTGTAATCACGGGACTGTAACTGAGAACGATGAATTCGCTTTGATGCGAATCTTACTGAATGCGAATCTGTACATGATGTAAAATATATAAATTATTAATAAAAACGTTGTAAAGGTGGTAATTTGCTTAAAATTGTCTAATTATTATTATGACAAAAGTTCTAGACTCTCGAGTTAAAAACTTCTATCTACAATAATTATTGCAATTATTGCAATTATTGCAAGTTCATTTTAGAACGGAAAAACACACGTTGATGTATTGTGGCCCTAAAGGAGGAGTTTCTTTCGTGTTTGGAAGACATCAAAAAATGTTTAGGTACATTATCACTTTACTTATTGTACTAAAAACAAATATGCCGATTGTAAATATGAAACGCCCATACTTAATATAATACAAACTGTGAAGCATTAGAACAAACATATTACAAACTGCTGCAAAAAGCGATACTCATAAAATATCACAAAAATAAAAAAATACCCTTAACAAAGTATCTAAACATCCCATATTTACTCCATTATGATGTTGCCATTTGCTGATACGGTTATTATAATATTATTCTAAGAAGCGCATTCACTATAATACACTCTTTGCTTAGCTACCAAGCAGTTGGGCTCTATTTTGACTAATTATTGTTTTAATCTTGAATTGTTATTACTATAAAAAGAGTTTAAGGCTTATAACAGAGTGGCGTTGAAAAGAGCACCCTGTATTTGTATGTACCTACGTAAGCATGACGTTTAAATTGTATAATACTATCTATGCACGCTCTTAAAATGGTTTAGGCCTATTAAATTATAATATATGTCACGAAAGGTTTTCACTCCAAAGCAATCAAGGTTTCAAGGTATAAAAAAAAATTGCATGTTTTTAATTATTATGCAATGTTATTCGAAAATCCAACACTGCAATTATTTAGAAGTACATTCTTTTTCTTCAAAGTGTTTTACTAAAAGTAGGAATAATACAAAATGTTAAACTGTATAACTACAGTATAATTTTTATTGATTTAATTTTTCATAAAAAAACAAGGACAATATAATGCTATCTCATAAAACGTTTAAAAATATAGTATACTATTGAAATTTTTGTAATGTTTAAAATTATTTTATCTTGGCTACGACTGACATAAAAAAGTGGTTTTTTTAAAACGATTGTATTACACATAGTAGAATAACAAAAATCTACATATTATTAATTATTGATCTGTTTTATATTGCACCTACTATAAACATCAACTAACAAGTGTTTTTCAAAATGGTTATTAAAACTGTTGTCTGAACATAATAAAAATATGTCCATTTAGGTAGCTGACATGACACAATTTTAATTATGTTTCGTACGAGTTTTATTCGATATGAACCTATAGTTATTATGTAAAATTACATTTACATAAAGTTAGCGTTAAAATACTTTATTTTAAAGAGTTTTTAATAGAATTAAGAATTTTATTTTATGGAATATGTTATTGATCGACGACTTATCATAGATTTTCCGTGAAAATTTATCGAAATACACAATATTACAGCTGTGCTGAATGGAAAATGCAAAACAAAATGATATTTGTGCGTTTCGAGAGAGACTTGTCAGCCATTAGATACACACGAGCTTACCGCAGGTGCTTACTGTATAATAATAATTATTATTATTATTCAAACGGGCTCTTTCTGGAAACGTGATTGAACAGTTTTGTTTATGTCAGTCATAGTGAACGAAAATAAAGATATCCGAGCTTTTAGACACACACTTTGAGGCGATGTGTTTGAGAAGTGTTAAGGACGAGGAAGAGGTATAAAATGTGATTTCAAATAACGTATTATATCACTGCACAGTGTGAGGAATTTCGGTGTGAAGTATTTTTTTGCGGAAATAAACGACGGAGACGATGTATGAATAATGATGGCCAAAAAGTGTCGGGCAAAGCGAGCGAGCGAGGGCGTCGGAAAGAGGAATGAAATGTGGGGGGAAAGTCAATGCTATGTATTATATATCGAGCACAGAAGTCGGCCTGGATGAAAAAGCGGTGATGGGCTAAAGGTAAAAAAAAAAAAATAATAAAGAAAAAACTACCGACAAACATCTATTTGTATTGAATTTTGTTCGACCGAATAAATCAAATAAGGAAAACGCGCACTTCAGCGAAAACATCAGCTACCACTGACAACCAATTGCAGTTATAATTATTATTTAATTTCCAATTATTATTATTATTATTAGTTTATCATTGTTTGATGCTTTCGAATGTTTTTTTCACTTAACATTTTATACTCCGAGGTTCTAAAATGCTGTTCTACCCCCCCCCCCCTACTCGAAAACCGCAAAGTTAACGCTTTGACGCGTTTTTCATTTTTTTTGCGTCTGTAGTTTGTACGTACTGTAACTTTTCAACCGTACTCGAATAGTAAAAGTTAAAAAAATTGAATCATGCACCATTAAAAATGGGATAACTACCCCAAAAAATTGTAAATATAGTGAAAAGCGTTAAGAAGGACGGAAAGCGCTATTTATTAAGGGGCATAGAATAGGCAATTTTTGACTAAAATTTATCCAGTAACCATTTTAAGTATGCCGACTAATTTAAATGTAAAAATATATTATGTTTTTCTATTTATACTATTTACACACCTTGCGGTTGCTCCCATTTGATTATCTTGACTGGTTCGCCAACGTTGGCGAACCAGTCAAGATAATCAAATGGAAGTAACCACAAGATGTGTAAATAGCGTAAATATAATACCCCCATTCAAGTTTTAATACTTTTTAAAGTTTTTCTAGTTATAAAACTTTAAAAGTTATTTTCTCCGAGTTATGGCGAAAGTTTGACAAAAAATTACTTTCGTAGAAGTCATTTTCCGACATATCTATTGGACGGAATTAAATTTTAAAGTGCCTATATTTGATTTAGCTATCGGAAAAATAGTTAGATTTACGAGAAAAAAATGATGAATAAAAGTAAAAATATAAATGCTTACACAAGTTTTTTGAAAACAAAAATTAAAAAACGGCCTTCTAGCCGTTAGAAAAGCCCATTTAAAAGATGCGTGAGTTAAAAACGGTTTCATGTGAGAGCAAGAAAACAGAGTTGAAAACATTGTTATTATCGGCGATAAATAAATATTGAAATGAACGAGCTTCTGCAGAATATTCGACAGTAAAAGAGGTCTACACAAGCAATGCAATTTTTCAGAATAATTATACTCGGGTTATTATTTTTTTTTTCCAGGATACCCTTTAAAAAATCCCAGACCGTCTCGGAACTCAGCGGTAACTTATTTTTGTGCTGTCAGCGTAAGTTTAGAGATTACTTTAAAAGTTCAAAAAGCCGCCTAAACTACACTTTAGAGTTATATAATGAAAATAATCACTGATCAGTAAATCGCAAATCAACAATTTTTGGGCTATGAAAATAATATAGTTTTTGACATTTTTCTGCTTAATACGGATTTTTATTAAATTCATCATTATTATAAATATATTTGTACATTATTTTTCGACAGGAAATCAAAGTTTATCGTTTACGACATACATTACGAGTATATGTGTATCCAAGTCTATTAGACCTACGAAACATTTGCTGATGGGTCACGTATTGTAAGTCCGTCGATGACGAACTCGCAAGTGCTCGGCCACGTTATGTTGCTCGGGGTCGTGTAATAAGACCGTTGATTTCGATTGGTTTGCGCCCTTAACAACAATACATTATTATGAGACGACGCCGGCATTTGCAAAGGTCACGCTTTTGCACACCGATAAACTGTATATTATTATGATTATATTATAATGTAGGCGCGATACCCAAAGTCCTTGGCACCACTGTTAAAGCCACCGCCGAAGCCCAGTGTGCGAACCGAGCATAAAGTTTACATACGGTCACGCGATAAACGCTGTTTATTTGTTATTTTTTTTTTTTTTTTTTTTTGCTTTCCAAAACGGCTTTTGCACGAAAGACTTAGGAAACCTTATACGGGTCGACAGAAACGACTGCCGTCAGTGTTTGCGCCGAACGGGTACCGTCTGACCGTATAAAAATATTATGTCTGAAGGCGCGCGCGCAACGTTCCGACCGGTTGGGCAGTGCCGAAACTGATGTATACCAAAAATCGCTACAGTATGAATTATAATAACATCGCCGTCATTACAATGTATTACTGTTGATGACGATTTTTAAAAAACAACCACAACCGATGAAAACGTCACCGATCATCCGGAAAATGGGACCCGGGGCTTCCTTGTCGTTGGTCGCGTGAGTGTACTAGTAAATATTTGTTATTCACTTACACACAGTTGGAAAGAGGTACGTGGCAGGTGGGCAGCTGAGGTATATTTCTGCCTGTTAATACACCAAATGTCACTAACCAAAAAGTGTATAATGATAATTCGCAAAACAGTGGACAAGAGGGCAGTATAAGGAATTAGCGGGTTAAATGTTTTCGTCGATAACAATTTTCGGATTGTTCAAATCAAAAGACGACTGGTTTATCGTATAAAAATATTGTACTTTAATAGTTGATGTTCATGTCAAAATAATTGGATAGTTCTCTTTTTAGGGTCGATGTTTTTTTTTATTGAATATTTATGTAAAATATTATTTTAACGTAAGACGCAGATTTAAAGCACTTATTGGTTATACTATGATAAAACATTTTCGTGTATGTGAAGTTAGCCCTCGTCCATATTATTAAAATCTACCCATGTATACAAATATTTACAAAAAGTTTGTTGTTACACTACTTTCTATGAAAATCCCAGGCTTATAACAATATTTTATCCCACATCAACCTTAAGAGTACGTGGTAAACACTATTTCGTCGAAATTATTATTATAATAATACAGAATGATCAATGGTCATCTGATTTCTCTGTTCCGGACTCAAGGGTGTATTTCAGTGAATTTGTTTGTATAATAATACATTTTTTTAATAACACAAAATTATTCCTATTACCTCTGTAATATTGGTTTTATTATAATTCTCAAAATCTAAATCTAAGTACATTGTAAAATTGTTGTTCCTGAAACAAAAACTGTAATATAATATGATATTCAGCAATATTTTTATTTGGGTGGAACGGGGGTTTTCTTAATTTAAATATTTATGTTTTAAATTGTTTAAAAGCCAGCACAGTGTAAATACCCTATAATATAAGTAATCGTATGTAATTTAGCTAACGCGTTATTGTATTATCACATTTGTATAGTTATTGAAATTGAAATAATGAAAAACATTTATACCTATATTTACTTTCTCTTTTTAACGGCTATGTTGTTAATTGAAAGATCAAGTACTAAAACCACGTAAATAAAATTATGTACTTTTGGATTAGAATCGTTTATAGTTATGGGGAAAAAATTTCACTTGACTCGGTCTACTATTTTGATGATTTTGTTTTACATTGGTTTGTTTAATATACATTTTATTAACGTTAAACTACAATATAAAACTATACCGGTGTACGAATTGTATATTAGTTACGTTAGGGATATTAATATTCTAGATTTTATTATTTTTGTATAACAAATAGTAATTATTGTATATTAAGAATATATATTAGCCTTATAAGCTATAAAAATGAGTACAGGTATTCTGAAAATCTATATTTTTAGTTTTGCAGTTATTCCCTAAGGTAATTTCTACGATGGCTTCACAATTTATGTATTAATGTAAAAAATATTCGGCATTTGATTATATTAATTTATATATTAACAAACAATAACTTAAATATGTTTGGGGAATTTCGGTCATTTTTACCTGACTTGACACCTCCTTTTTTTCTCTTTTTTTCAGAATGTTTCATCTGGTCCGTTCGAAAGAGCTGTACGAAATGGAAACGGAATACAACAAAAATATGCCTCCAGGTTTATTTTTATACACACTTTATCCAAATGTATATAAACGTCATACTTGTGCGCTTTACCACGTTCAATTTAGCTTTTGTCGTTTCGTTTCACGCGTTATTTCCTGTTTCATCATAATATAGCGTGGCAAACACATATAAAATGCATGTGTGTGTGTGTGTGTGTGTGTAAACACTTACAAATTGTAAGTCAGAGTTCAAAAACGTTGCAATATAGTAGTATTATAGGTCTTTTCCGGTCGTGTAGCTGTGCGCCATGCTCACAAAAGGTCCGACGACTAAAACGGGGAATCAAAGGTCCTTTGATAATGAAAAAGACAATATTCGAGCCCCACCAAACATGGGTGATTACGTTTAATACCCTCTTCAAAGAAAACATTCAATAATAGCGTAAGGCCCTGTTGAAAATAATATAGTATCATCCGGTATAGCCTTCTTTAATGCCATCTTAGAGGAACACGAGTCCGTGCGTGACGCCTAAGGTATTATATTATATTCATAGCTATAACTACAACTCCGAGGGGTTTGTTTTTTTTAAACATTAATATGCCTTATGGCTAGGAAAAATTGGGGTGACGCTTTTGTGACACAAAGCGGGTGTTGTATAGTGACAAGTGAGGATGAGCTGAAAAGTTCTACTATTAATTGTTTGTAGTCGCTAAGAGTAAGCATGAGTAAATACAAGTACAGGGATTGTTTGATTAAAAAACACAAGAAAATGTTAATGACAACATACAACAAGACAACGAGTATTGTAAAACAAAAAAAGTATATACCATACATCAATAGTAATTTGTATAGACTAAATAATGAAAGCAAATCAGTTCCTGCGACCATTCATTTAAATTATTTTGCCCCTATTTACCGCTTCAAAGCTGATCTTCTGTAACAGAAGTTTATTTTAACAAAATACGATTCCAAAGGGCAAAATGTGTTGTCACAGTATTTCTGCAGTTGTGTCTCGTAAAGCACCACAACGTTCATAACGAATTATAGTTATAGAATTGGTCAGTATTATTATTACTTGTGACAAGTTGTATTTTATTATAATGGTTTTATTAAGAATAATTGAAGACTATTGACTACAATGATTGTAGTTTAAAAAAATGTAATATCAGGATAATTCAAAGGAACGGGTTGTCTGTGAAAAGGGTCAAGTAAAATGTTAGTGTGTCAATGGTGTCCAGGTAAAAAAACCTGAATGTTTAAAATTACATTAAAACGACTGTACTGTAAGCTTGCGTGGCAAATTTAAATGCGGTTACCGCATTAATTGTTACAATAGTTAATATTATTATAGTATCGATATGGAAAAAATCCCAAAATTGACCCCCTGTGCTAGTTTGTTTAACAATTTTCAATATTCGAATAAGTATTTCCGAAGTTTCCGTTCAGATAATATGCACCCCAATTACGACGTCTTAAGTGTGTGTGTGTGTGTGTGTTTTTTATCTTCGTTTCGTAGCTGCGAAGATATTGTTTTTTTTACTACCAACTTGACGCGACAGGCCCGTCTCAATTTTCGAGCTTAAAACGGTTGTTTTTTTTCTTCTAAGTACATCAATGTTGCATTACTGTTATTCTACGACCCCGAAGGTGATTGGATTGTTCCATTCATGGCGTTCGTTCCCTGTCAACCTAAGCTGCCGTATGTACGCACATACACCCCTTGCTAAAGTGTCTCCACAAGGTTTTTGATTGGCTGGTTTTTTGTTTTCTACTTCTTTACTAGGTACTGCCAGACCGCCAGACTGAAATATTTATGTTATATAGGTACACACAGTGAGCGGATGACTATCACAATCAAACCTATGTGTGTAACTGCACTGAATACAAAAAAAAGTTCTAAAATTATTTTATTTACAACTTTATTGTATAATATAATTTTTAATTACAATTTTTTTACAAAGACATTTTAAAACACAACAAAATTACAAACACAAAAAAGTTGTTACCATTGACATTTACTTATTCTAAAGTTTTGTAGATACATAATAAAAATAGGCATTATAAGTACAAAGATGTCCATGATTTAACGTATCAACATTATAATATTTTATTTATCTATACATTTATATCAACTCATTTAGGAAAATAAATGTTTAACCATAGTGTTATAACACTACAAGTGGTTGTAGACATATGGTCAATTAGTTTAAAGTTTTGATGGGGTTTTTTTCAGTGGTTTTAATTTAAAAACTACCATATTAAAACCAAAATCGGCCATGACATCTAGGAAGTATTAAAACATCTATATCCGTTTTCAAAATTATTACGCGTTTTAGAGTTCTGATTTAATTAGAATGAGTTGTTTTCGACCAAACATACGTAGATAGTGAGGCCTCTTAAATGAAATCATAATAATTCTTCCGCCTATTCTAAGACAGAAGGCTTACGATATTTGTTTGGTTTTTGGCTGTTTACAATATTTGTAGACTGTAGAATACCCTAAACATATTTTAAGCTAGTTCTGCGGGTTTTTGTAGTGTTATATTCTTAAATATTATTATGTCGTATTATAAAATTCATACGTGTATTTGTTTTAGCATTTTTACATTCGAAGGGGGAGGGGTCAGATTTTTACCTTTTGCCTAAAACTGCAATAGCAGAAGGACAATTTATCGTTTGGGTAGGAAACCGGGTGTATTGTCTGTGGGATTTATGAGTCTTTTTATTTCACATGTTATTAGACTATAGCGATATTAAAATAATGATTAATGTTAACAATACATTAGATTTTATTGCGTGCGCGCTTTTATGGTAGTTGTGTACCAAATTCAAACGACCTACATTAGGTGACTCATTGGCCTCACTGTTTATTTTCCATTAGTTATTATTTTTTAGTCGTTTACAATTTTATCACTATCGATATCCTTTGCTGAAACTATATTAATGATATCGTACTCGAAGAGTTATTATTATTGGTATTGTGATTGCTATAAAAGGGAATACAGTGTTTACAAAGCACACCAATCGCCCCATTACACACGACACAGTTTGAACCATAAAACAAAAACCACCATCTTTCAGTACAAAGGTTTTCAAAGTAGGTCATACTTTAAAGCAATTGAGGTTCACAGTTCGCATAAAATTCCCGTTAGATAATTTAGCCTTAGTTTAATTTGATGCAAGAATAAATTATAAGTTAACTACGAAATCAGTAAACTTTTAGATAGGGACACATCATACAGCGCGGCGAGTCCTATCTTTGTCTATCTTTTTATAAATAAATTATAAGAATAACTTCTCATAGCAATGGGCTATACACTTAAAATGCGATTTTTATTGTTTTTCGTAACGCCTTCGCCATGAAAATTGGGGCATTTTGCTGTTGTTATTTATTTTATCGTTACCAACGTTAATGATTATGTTTATACACATTTTTTTCTGTGTAATACAGAACAGCAATTCCGTTGTTTCTGCGTAGCTGCTTAAATATTATTTTCAGTTTATACATAAAATTAACACTGAAAATATATAAGGTTTTTTTTTCTGAGTTGCACAACAAAAACCATTAACGGTTTAAAATCCTATATGGTGAAAAAAATTAACATATTATGTTTTTAAATATTCTACAAGTATTAGTGTTTTTTGTTATTGCACAATACTATAAAATAAGTATTGTCCTGTTTTGTATTTTCCAGAGTACTATCAACTTTTGAAATTTAAACGGAAACGAATATATTTTATTAACATTTTTAAATGAGAAAAAATCGCTGAAAGATTTGACTGATCGATAACGAATTGTGAATAAATACAAAAGTTATAAAAATGTAGACCAATTAGTAATTTGATAAATACTTTATTGCTATTGACCCCATAAATGTTACATTAGCATATTAAGCATTGTATTTTATACAATTTTATCTATGTAATCATTTCTTTTATTACCTATACTTATAATCAGTATTTTTTTCATATAAATAAAATAGTTTAATCAAGGGTTGGTAAATAATGTTTATTCAAATTGATTGTTATTTTTCGGTGAGTAATGGTTAAAAACCTATAAAAAAAACTGTTATTGATGAAATCTCATTTTACTATGATGTGTAATTTTTTTGTGTCTGAGTACACTGTAACAGCTGGACTAATTCCTTCGAGTAGCAACTTTTTAATTCACAAGTTTTATCCAGTTGGTACTTAAGAGGGAAGTATAAAAGTTGAAAATTTACCCTCCTTCGCCCTTATAATCGCAAAAAACAAAAAACTATACGAGTCTTCAAATTTTCCGAAATCACTTAAAAATAAACTCTTTGATACAAATCAGTGGATACTGCACTTCACGTTTTCCTAAATTTTAAAATTTAATAACTTTACAACTATTTATTCAAAACTGGTTATCGACCAGTCAATTTTTTTAGCAAATTATTGTTAATTTAAAAATTTAAATATATATATATACGTTACCATTTAGGTTTCAAAAGTTGATAAGGCTCTAGAAAATACTAAAAGAGATAAAAAATTAAATATTGTTTTATATAGTAATATAGTATAATCAAAATGTTTTTCAAAAATAACCACTACAAATTTGCAATTATTTTAAGAGTAAACTAGAGTAGGGCGTTAAAAGAATCACCCGGTATAATAATATTGTTAATGACACATGAACGAGTTGGTCGCAACTGTGTTTGTTATAACTAAATAACACGAAAATAACTATTATGTGTTGTTTTTCATGTTTGAGCCAAACTACAATACTACAGTAGTGTGAATGTTTAAAAAATATCACACCTATTTTGTGCTACATATGCTAAGCTAGTGTTATTCGACAATCATAATGATACATTTTAAGATATTACTTATTCTATCGTTGTTATGTAGTTTTCGAGGGGCTAAAGACAACGTTTTAGAAGAGCAAAAAGAAACACAATGCCGTTTAGTACTTAGAGCTCTAGTGCATATAAATTTAATCAAGACGTATTTGTCGGAGCCGAAGAAGTTGAGCAAACTGTCAGAGCATGAAGTAAGCTATATAACGTTTACGGAAGAAGCGCAATCCAT